TCCTCGTCCTCCTCCTCCTCGTCCTCCTCCTCCTCTCCGTTGTGGCACTTCTCCTGCTCCACAAGCTGCCGACCAGTATCCTCCTCCCCCTCCTCATCATCGTCATCATCAGCAGCATCATCATCTTGATCAACGAGTTGATGGCATCGTCAGCATCACCGACAGCATCATCAGCAGCATCATCATATCATCAGCATCATCTGCGTCATGGCGCGAAGAAGGCATGGGTTGATGACAACGGGATGGACATGGACGAGGATGTGGAGCCGGCTTGCAGCCAATCTTGAAGGATTTGTACAAGCTCGTCTCAAAGTCGATGAAGAAATTGGGACCATCCAGCGGACGACCAACGAGAGTTTCAACATGGTGGCGCAGGACGTCAGGGCAGTGAAGGAGGACGTGAAGGTGGCCACAGACAAGGCGGAGCAAGCCCTCCGGGTGGCAAAGGAGGCGAAGAAGGTGGCACACAGAAAGGGGCCGGGTGGCCACAGCTCAACCGGATTGTCATCGACGGCGTCAGGTAGTGGAGGCGGAGCCTTCAGGCCGACTGGCATTGATTGCCGGAAGCTTGTCGTTGGAGGATCGACCAGTTGTTGGTGAAGGTCGGCCACAAGGACAGCGTCCAGATCATCTGGGCACCTACGGCCAGCAATCACGACACAGCCATCTTCAAGGACGACGATCTCATCCAGGACTTCGTCACGAAGTGGCGGAAGCTCGGTGAAAGACGAGGGCGACGCCAAAGGTTGCTTTGGGTTTCGGTCGACAGATAACCACGAAGTGCGGGTCTGGTGTAATGAGCACCAGACACGAACAGCGGGCGAAGGTTGCCGTAACCACGAGGATCTTGGAGGCCATGTGGACCGTCGACGCTCACCTGAAGTACGCGCCCGTCTCGAAGACTACCTTCCAGGGAGTGGCATTCAACACGAAACTGCCAGTGTCCATAAGCGACGACGACGACGACGACGGCACATTGGGCATTCGGTTGGAGAATTTCCCCCAAGGAATCGCCAGCGTGTCCAAGGAGCAGGTCAGGGAGGCTTACGAGAAGGCAGACGAGAACGCGGACAAGCGTTTTCGCCGCTAGCCAAGCGGCCAGAAGAGCAAGAGGCGATGCTGGAGCATCGCACCGGAGCCAAAACATTGAGCACATCAATGTCATTGTGCTGAACTGAGGCGGGCAGGCCGCTACTCAACAAGAATATTTGTTCCAGGACTTCGGGTGGCAGTGGGACGTCCTGCCGCTCCAGGAGTTCAACCCTACCGATGAAGGCCTTCTGCGAAGAGATCCTCGGTCACTTCGTCATTTCGGCACCTGTTGGTGGAGGTGTGTGTGGGTGTGCTATAGCTGCCCACAGGAAGTACAAACTCAAAAACCATGAAAAGCAACCGTCCACAAGCCACCGCTTGCAGCGATGTCACGCTCGGTTATCCAGCCGCAACTCTTGCTTTATTTGTGTGTTCTTGCCCCGGCAGGCGAACCAATAATGCTCCGGCACATACCTCAACGCTGTCATGTATGAGGTCGACACGGAGCTCCATTAAGGGAAGGTTTTGTGCAACGGTACAGACGCAAGCTGCGAGGTGGGAGAGATCGAGACCGAGGCTGACATGATGAGATTCGGCCCCTTCGCTCCGGGCGTCCGCCAGCAGCGCGGAGCTCAGTTTTTGCAAGGGTGCGCCGACCGCTCCCCAGTGCTTGCCAGTACTGTCTGCGACATCGGCCAGGCCACCAGGTTCGACCTGAACGGGCACGTGATTACACCGACTACGCCATCACCACATCGGATCAGCTCGGCCTTGTGGAGAACTGCAGAGCTGTCCAGACGCCCGCCACCGGTACGGACCCTCTGGCACTGCAGGCAAGACCACGCCCCAAGCGGACTACACCGTGGCACTGCTGCAGCCCACGGGGCTGGGAGGTGCGGGGCACCCCGGGGCTTCTGCACCGAGATCGCCAGCAGACAGCAGGACGAGCGATCTTACGTTGGGGTCCCCGCTAGCATCGGGGAGGCTGCATCCGGGCACGGCGCGCCGGGGTCCCAGCTTCCGCAGGCGCGCGTGGACGGCACTCAGCTCCATCGCCGGGGAGTGCGGGCAGCGCCCGAACCGGGCACGCGCCCGCAGGGTGTGGCAGGAGCGCGGGCGCCTGCAGGCCGCCAAGGGCGAGGCGCAGAGCCGGATGATTCTGCATGGCCTGAGCGCAAGGGGGGCTGGGGCAAGCGTCACCGGGAGGGAGCTGGCACTCCTCATCCTCATCCTCGTCCTCATCCTCGTCCTCATCCTTTTCCTCATCCTGTCCCTCCTCCCTCCTCGTCCTTCTTCCTCATCCTCCTCGTCCTCCTCCTCCCCCCTCCTCCTCGGTGCTCCTCCCAGAGGCCCCAGAACAGCAAAGAAAAAAACAAAAACTGGCCGGCGTGCGCAGGGGACCCAGACGGGTGGCGTCACAGTGTTCTCACGGCGCGAGCCCCACCCCGACCTTTGGACCCCGTGCTGGGCACAATAATCACGACAATTGACGATCTCGACCCTGCGATGTATCGAATTGCTTGTTGTGCAGGCACTCTGTGGTGAGCTTTCGCTGGTCTCGCCAGCTCGCCAGACTGGCCTGGGCAAAAGCAGTTATGGTACAGTCGGGGCGCTGAAGAAGGAACCCTTCTCGTTGGGGAGGGGCTCCGTGTTCCTTCATTGTTTCACAGTTCGCCCTAGGTTTTCTTCAGATTTTCGATGGGAAATCAAAGTTTAACTTATAGAAAAAAGGGGCCTCGTTTCTTATTTAGGGTTCCTTAGGTCAACGCCCCGATTGTGCGGCGCTCCCTCTTGCCAGCACGCGCGCGCAGGAGCGAAGAGGGAGGGGGAAAGGGGAAGACCTTCGAGCTGCGCCGCTCCCCTCCGCAGAGCCGGCGCTGGCCCCAGGCTCCCCGCCCCATGCTATTTCGACTTGGAACAAGGGCGTAAAAAACGCCCTTACCCTGGTTTACGAGGCGCTGTGCGCTGAACCTCCTGTGGGCTGACAGGGTAAACCCTGCACATCGCGCGTATCGCGCGGCGTCCTGGCGGCTCTCTGGCCTTTGGGAGCTCCCAGGAGGTTTACAGACCACGCACTTGCAACCCAGGGCAGGAGCGTTTCTTGCATCGCTCATTGGAGCTGGCGGGGGGCCCGAGGTGGCCCAGCACCGGCTCCGGCAAGCAGGGCGGAGGTTCGAGGCGCTGGCCTCGGGACGTCTTGCCGCTGCCCTCTTCGATCTCCGCGGGCCCGGGAGCGTCAGACACAGATCCAGGGATGAAGAAGTGCACCAGATGGACCCCGGGAAGGGGAGCGCCTGCGAGCGCCTGGGAGCGCCTGGGAGCGCCTGCGAGCGCCTGGGACTCGAGCTTGGGAATTTAGGGGGCTTGTCCCTAAACCTTAAAGGCATTGATTTGGAAGGTTGCCGGCCTTGCGTGGAGCCAGGGGCCGATTTGGAACGGATCTGGCCCCCTCCCCCCGCCTGGTCGATTTTCTGAGGGCCCGACCAGTTCAGTCCCCCCCCAGCCGCAGCCGAATCTCGGCCACGCGTAGCCCTCCGCTGGAGTGACCTTTGGTGCGCGGCTTGGGGAGGCACATAGACGGGGCGGAGGCAGGGGGGAGGGGGGGGTGACCGAGCACGCAGGCCGTTGCTTTCGCACCACATGCGGCGATCGTCAAGCCGCGCACTCGAGGTCACCCTTGCCTAGGGCCACTCCTGCGCGTAGCTGAGCTATTGTTTGGACGGCCCCGGGGCCCGAAGCGGCTCTCTAGAAGCCGCAGCGTTGAAAGAGTTGGCCGCCGCGACCTGTTCGTGGTGTCGAAGGTATAGGGCCTCCTCCTCCTAATCCACCACCTCCTCCGTCTCCTCCTGACCTCTCGCTTGTTGCGCTCTGGCAAGGATTTCGAGACGGAGAAAGCAGTTGTCGCGAGGGTGCCCCAGAAGGGCCCCCAGGCAATCAGACTTCCCAAAACAGTGATCCTCGAGCCTGGATCCTTTCCTCTCCCTCCTCCTTTACCTCCTCCTCCTCCTCCTTCTCCTCCTTCTCCTCATCATCATCCTCAGCCTCCTCCTCCTCTCCTCCTTCTCCTCCTACTCCTCCTCCTTCTCCTCCTCGTCCTCCTCCTTCTTCTCCTGCTCCTGCTCCTGCTCCTGCTCCTCCTCCTCCTCCTCCTCCTCCTCCTCCTCCTCCTCCTCCCTCCTCTCCTCCTCCTCGTCCTCCTCCTCCTCTCCTCTCCTCCCCTCCTCCTCTCCTCCCCCTCTTCATCGTCGATCCGGGGTCCTCATGTGTCCTCTTCCTCCTCCTCCTCCTCCTCCTACTCCTCCTCCTCCTCCTCCTCCTCTCCTCCTCCTCCTCCTCCTCCTCCTCCCTCCCTCCTCCTCCTCTCCTCCTCTCTCCTCCTCCTCCTCCTCCTCCTCCCTCCTCATCTCCTTCTCCTCCCCTCCTCCTCCTCTTCCTCCTCCTCCTCCTCCTCCTCCTCCTCCTCCTCCTCCTCCTCCTCCTCCTCCTCCCCCTCCTCATCATCCTTCTTCTCCTCCTGCTCCTCCTCCTCCTCTTCCTCCTCCTCCTCCTCTTCCTCCCCCTCCTCCTACTCCTTCTCCTGCTCCTCCTACTACTCCTCCTCCGCCTCCTCTTCCTCATAATCATCACTATCATCATCAGAATCATCATTGTCATCATCATCATCATCATCATCATCATCATCATCATCATCAGCAGCAGCAGCAGCAGCAGCATAATCATCATCATCAGCATCATCATCATCATCATCATCACCATCATCGTCATCATCATCACCAGCATCAGCATCGTCATCATCACCAGCATCATCATCCTCATCATCATCAGCATCATCATGCATCCTGGAACTTCCTCCTCCTCCTCCTCCGAAGGCCCTACCCCCCATTCCTCAGGGACGGGGACCCCCCATTCCTCAGGGACGGGGGGGTAGCAGGGGCGCCCGCGGGGGAGGGGGGCGGCCGGCGGAAGAGGTGGCTTTCTTCTGGATGTGGTTCACGCACTACGTGCGGATGCTGGCGGGCGGGCGGGCCAACGAGGGAGGGAAGGAAGAGCGGAGGCGGGAGGAGGAAGGAAGGAAGGAAGGAAGGAAGGAAGGAAGGAAGGAAGGAAGGAAGAAAGTACTCAAGGAAAGAAAGAAGGAAGAAAGTGAGGAAAGAAGGAAGGAAGCAAGGAAGGAAGGAGAAGGGAGGGAGAGAGGGAGGAAGGAAGGAATGCAGGAAGGGAAAGAAAAGGGAAGAAAGGAAGGGAGGGAGGGAGGGGAGGAGGAGAAGGACGAAGAAGAGGAGGAGAGGAGGAGAAGGAGGAGGAGCAGGAGGAGGAGGAGGAAGAGGAGGGGAGGAGGAGGCGAGAAGGAGCGGGCAGAACGGGCTGAAGGGTCCTCGTCGTCGTCGCCGCCGCCGCCGTTGTCTTCCGTCGTCATCGTCGTCCTCTTCCTGCTCCCCCGCCTCCTCGGTAAGTCGGAGGTTGGGGGGTGAGATCGTAGTGAAACGGAAACCCCCCACCAGGAAATCGGTTTCGGTTTTGTGTTCGTGTCGTGCGTGCAGGCGAGGCGAAGCTGCGCGTGATCCTCCTGCAGCTAGGCCGAAGTAGGAGCGAAAGTCCGTTCCCGTCCGCCGGTGGCTGGGAGGTGTCCCAGTTGGGCCGGGCGGTGTCCCGGGTGTCCCGGGTGTCAGTAGGAGCGAAAGTCCGTTTCCCGTCCGCCGGTGGCCGGGAGGTGTCCCAGTTGGGCCGGGCGGTGTCCCGGGTGTCCCGGGTGTCCCGGGCGTCCCGGCGCTAACGCATGTCTTTGTTTTCGGCGCCTGCGGCGGGCTTTCTTATCCAATCCAGCTTATCTTATCCAATCCATATTGTCCAATCCAATCCATTTTATCTTATCCAACCATATTGTCCCATCTTATCTTCTCCCACCCAATCCAATCCACCCAACCCAACCCATCAATTCATTTGTTTCTGCGCCTGCGGCGGGCCAATCCAATCCATATTATCTTACCCAATCCATGTCTTCCAATCCAACCATCTTATCTTTTCCTATCCATCTTATCCCATCCAATCCAATCCACAGAGAGAGAAAGACACAGAGAGAGCGAGAGAGACAGAGAGAAAGAGAGAGGTGAGATCAAGGTGACAGGCTGGAGGTCAGTCAGGGTGGGCATTTTATCATAATCCCCCATCATCATCATCATCATCATCATCATCATCATCATCATCATCATCATCATCATCATCATCATCATCATCATCCTCATCCTCATCCTCATCCTCATCCTCATCCTCCTCCTCCTCCTCCGCCTCCTCCTCCTCCTCCTCTTCCTCATCCTCCTCCTCCTCCTCGTCCTCCTCCTCTTCCTCCTCCTCCTCCTCCTCCTCCTCCTCCTCCTCCTCCTTCTCCTCCGTCCCTAGACACGCGGATCGAGTCTCGAGGATCGAGGCTCCGCCCTCGAGGATCGAGGCTCGGAGCTCGAGGACCGAGGCTCCAGGCTTTCTGGCCCTCGAGGATCAAGGCTCTAGGCTTGTGGCCCTCGAGGCGCGAGGCTTCTTGACCCTCGAGGCTCGAGGCTCCAGGCCTTTCGGCCCTCGGGGGCCCTCCCCGCCGCCACGGCTGGGCGCAGCTCGAGCAACTGGGTGCGCTGGGACCCCGGCGGGGGTCCTTTGGGCCCATGCCGAACGGCTTCTGACAAGCCGCCTCGCGCCGCGCAGGAACCCGGGCGGCAGGCCTGTGGCGGTCTTCCGCCCCCAGGGGGGGCCTCGCCGGGACCCAGGACCGTCAAACAACGACGCGGGGCGAAAGACGAGGGCAGTCGTCTGGCGATGGGTTTCCCATGCTTCGGAATTGGTGGAAACCTGGGATCACCACAAAAAAAGGTGGGTTTTTCAAGGCAGCTCCAGGTTTCCCGTGCTTCGCAGGCCCTGGAGCCCTGGGGAGCGGGTCGGGTCTTTTGGAATCCCCGCACGCAGAAAATCATGACAGCACATCTCTGCGCCCGTGCCCAGGAGCGCGAGGCGGCAGCGGACGTTCGCGCGCCGCCAGTCCGGGCACGAGCGGGGCCAGGGCGCCGCCTCTGGAGCTCCTGCTCCGGCGATTGGCCCCGCCAGCAGTGAGGCAATCGCGGCGGAGGAGGCGGCGGACCGGACCCTCGCGACCTGCCCGGCCAGAGTCGATTTCGATCCGATCGATCCGATTCGATGTCGGTTTTGGCCAGCCCGATCCGATTCGAGCCCGATGCTCCGACGATCTGATGTGGCCCGATGTTTGCCTGGCGCTATTGTGCATCCTAGCGCAGCCGATCCGATTCGATGTCGGTTCCATGCCAGCGCAGCCAGATCCGATGCATGCTTCGATCCGATCCGATTGGCCGAATCGGTGCTGGCTGATCCTGCGGGCGGCGGCGAGCGCGGCTGCCCCCGCGAGCGCAGGAAGCGTGCATACGCTATCTTCGCAACGGGTGGCTCACTGCCCGGCAGATCCAGCGGCGCGCCGCTTGCTGCTTCGGCTGCGCGGACGCCGATGTCCCCGTGGAGCCTTGCGCGGAGGTGATCCCCGCGCGCCGCGGCCCTCGCGGCCCCCAGCCCGTGTTGTCGTGGCCGGACACGTCAGCCGCGCGATTGGCAAACTATGTGCTCCCGGCGCCGCCGGGCTCCTCCAAAATGGTTTCTGCTATCCGCCGCCAGGCTCTGTTTGCGGCAAGCGCCCGACTCACACAATGGTGGTGGCGCCACCACATTGGCTACACCTCCGACGCCTGCCAGAACGCACTGCATCTCACACCAAGCCAGTGCTTCGGCTGCCTTCCTCTGCCAGGCCCGCCGCTTCGAGCTGCCGTGGCAGGCTATGGCGGGAGACGCAAGCCTCTCCTCGGGGGGGGTCGCTCCAGTCTTGCCTCTTCACCCCTTCCTCTCCTCCTCCTCCTCCTCCTCCTCCTCCTCCTCCTCCTCCTCCTCCTCCTCCTCCTCCTCCGCCTCCGCCTCCGCCTCCGCCTCCGCCTCCGCCTCCGCCTCCTCCTCATCCGCCTCCTCCTCCGCCGCCTCCTCCTGCTCCTCCTCCTCCTCCGGTCAGCAAGCGGCGGCATGCACTGGAAGCGAATTGAGGCACGAAAGCGAAAGGGACGGAGCGCGAGGGGGAAGAGGGAGGAGCCCGCTCAGACCACGAAGGCTTGCGCGGGGAGGCCGAAGAAGAACTCGCATGCGAGCTGCGTAAATACGAGCAGCGGAGGCCGGAGCCAGCTTGGTGTGGAAGGCTTTGACGAGATAGGGTGCCGTCCCAGGGTCGCGGGGCGTGGCCGGCGCGGCACCTTCTCCACACCACAGGGGGTGCGCAGGGGGTGGTCCCTCACCGCGGCCTCTATCCGTCCCAGGGTCGGCGCGGCAGGCGCGGCACTCACACCACAGGGGTTGCGTAGGGGGGGCTCCCTCTCCGTGGTCTCTGTCCGTCCTAGGATCGCGGAGCGCGGCAGTCGTGGCATTTTCTCCACACCATAGGGTGTGCGCAGGGGGTGATCCCTCACCGCGGTCTCTATCCGTCCCAGGGTCGCGGGGCGTGGCAGGCGTGGCATTTTCTCCACGCCACGTGGGGTACGCAGGGGGCAGGTCTCGCGGTTGCATTCCATCCGTTGCACTAGCAGGGGGTCACCAACGGGCAACGGCCACCAGCATCAGTTTCGCATGTTTCATCTCAGCTGCTATCACGCCAGACATAGTAGAAGTATGTGGGGGTCTTCGGTAGCGTAATTCCTCGCGAGTACTTGTTTGACGGTCCCAGGGCCCAGCGAGGGCCCCTTGAGGCCGAAAATGTTCAAAAAATCCGGTCGAGATCTTTACACGACACGAGCATGTCCGGGGAGAGAGGAGGGGGAGCGGAGGAGGTAGGAGGGAAGAGGAGAGAGGGAGGGGGAGGGAGGCAGGAGGGAGGGACAAGGAGGAGGGAGGAGGGAGGAGGAAGAGGAGGGAGGAGAGGAGGAGGGAGGAGGGAGGGAGAGGAGGGGAGGAGGAGGGGGAAGGAGAGGAGGAGCGAGGAGGAGGAGGGAGGGAGGAGGGAGGGGAGAAGGGAGGAGAAGGGAGGGAGGAGGAGGGGGAGGGAGGAGGAGGGAGGGATGAGAGGAGGAGGGGGAGGGAGGGAGGGAGGGCCCCCCGCCCCTTCCTGCCGCCAGAGGTGCCCCTGGCCCTCGTGGGCACGGCCGCCGCCGCGGCAGGGGGGCGGCCTGGGGGTCGGGTGTCGTCGTCGTCGTCGTCGTCGTCGTCGTCGTCGTCGTCGTCGTCGTCGTCGTCGTCGTCGTCGTCGTCGTCGTCCTCCTCCTCCTTCCTCCTCCTCCCTCCTCCTCCTCCTCCTCCTCCTCCTCCTCCTCCCTCCTGCCTCCTCCTGCTTCTCTTCAGCCTCCTCGTCATCCTCCTCCTGCTCCTTCTCTTCCTCCTCATCCTGGCTCCTCCTCCTCCCCCTTCTCCTCCTTCTCCTTCTCTCCTCCTCCTCCTCCTCCTCCTCCTCCTCCTCCTCCTCCTGTCTCCTCCTCCTCCTCGTCCTCCTCCTCCTCCTCCTCCTCGTCCTCCTGTTCCTCCTCCTGCTTCTCGTCCTCCTCCTACCCCTCATGCTGAGACACCGAGACACCGACGGCATGCAGGTCGCACGGACGTTGCCACCCTCCGGCCGTTCCTCTTCCTCCTCCTCCCTCTCGAGAGACGGAAGCACAGCCGGCAGCAGCTGTCCGACGGCGCAGCGCCACGGCGCGGCCTCGAAGATGCCAGGCAATGACGACGGTACCGCGCACCGCGGTGCCCGCGACGCCCCATGACTCACGACAGCACTGGACGAGCAACGGTGGGAGTGGCAGGGAGAAGGCCCTACCAGCACGTGCGGGTAGCACCGCGGAAGAGCCCTGAGGCGGCCCCGCTCGCCCCGCGCAGACCTCTGGTCGGCCCGCCCCCTCCCGGGGGCGCTTCGCACGTCGTTCGCTCGCTCGTTCCTCCTGCGCCGTGCGACATGTCACTGCCGGAGGCCATCGCCCCTACAGTCAAGCCGCATGGTAAGGACGGGCAGCCTTCCCAAGGGTACCCCAGCATCCTTGCCTCCTCGGTCCATCCTTGGCCGCTTTCGTTGGCCTCGCTCCGCTCGAATAGCCTCGAAATGGGCTTCCAGGGCCCTTGTATCCTTATCGCACATCCTTACTATAAGGGTTCACTGTGTGTATATATATATATAGAGAGAGAGAGAGAGAGAGAGATGTGCAAGGCCTGAATTTGCGGGTCCTGTCGGGCATGGCCGAATCGTCTTGATACGCTCGAGATGATCATGGGGCGACGGTTGCGCTCGTGGTTCGATTGGGGATGACACAAACATAAAGATTCGGAGGTCCGCCGAAGCGCCGCCAGGGGGGCCCAGCGCCGATCCGAGGGATCCGTGCGGACCTCTGAGGCTTCATATCTGTGTTATTTGTTGTTCCCCTGGATACGCTCGAGATGAGGATGGGACGCTGGTTACTCTCGTGGCTCGACTGTCCTGCCCCCCCGCCGACTCCGCGAGAGGTGGGACTTGGTGCGGGAAATTCTGACGCGGGCTCCACCCCGTCCGCTGGCCGTACATGCCGCCGCCAATTTTTGCTCGCGTCAGAAAGGCTCGGCCAACACGGGGGCACACAGCCCCGTTAGGTCGCGGGGCCAGCACGGGGTCACACCAGCCCCGTTTGGCGCACGGGGACTCCCCAGAGGGATTGCACGACATGCCCGTCAACACGGGCGTGCGATTGCCGCAAGTTGCCAACGGTACAACACGGACGCGGCCACATGAAAGCAGCTGCGGGGGGCCAGACGAGCATGGGCACAATGCATGTTGCAGACACTTTACAGTCTACCCGCATAGTAAGGACGGGCAACCTTCCCAAGGGTACCCTTGCATCCTTGCCTCCTCGGTCCATTCTTGGCCGCTTTCGTTGGCCGCGCCCCGCTGGAAAAGATTCGAAATGGGCGTCCGAGAACATTGCGTCCTCATCGCGCGTTCTTACCATGCGGGTTGACTCTATGGTGCTGCGCGTTCGGATGCCCCGAGCGTCCAGACAGCATGCTGCTCACCGCCGCAAGTGCCCCATGGCCTGGCTCACGCAGCTCGTCCGTCATCCCAAGAGGGTCGTCCCTCCGTGCCCCGTCCTCCGCCATGGCCTTGGGCTCCCAGAGCGAGATCCAGCTCGCGCAAGAGAGAATGCGACCGCGGCCACCACTTCCTGCTCCTTTTGATCTACCGCGCAGCGGGAGAAGCGACATCCAAACAAGACGGTCGCCTTGTTGTCAGTTCCCCTGCATCCTGAAGTGGCGAAAGCCGCACAAGCCAGAACGCTAAGTTATGATTCGAGTCTCCCTCGGCCGCCCGATGCAGCTCGGCCCTGCGGGTGGCTGAAACCAGTTGCGAGGCGCCGATGCCGCTCAGACGATCATGGGCTCATGGGTACCGGTGCTCCTCCTCCTCCTCCTCTTCCTCCTCCTCCTCTTCCTCCTCCTCCTCCTCCTCCTCGTTCCTCTTCCCCCTTATCCTCCTTCTCATCCATCTTCGCTTCTCCTCCTCCCCCTCCTCCTCCTCCTGCTCTTCCTCGTCCTTTTCATCCTCCTCTGTCTTAATTCCTCGTCCTCCCCTTCGTATATCCTCCTCCTCCTCCTCCTCCTCATCCTCCCTCTTCATCCTCATCCCTCCTCTCTTCCCCGACATCCAACGTCTTCAAAATCCAGACCCAAGACATGAGTGTTTCATCGTTTTCGGCCGCTGGGGGTCCCTCACCGGGCCGGGGCCATGACACATTATTCTCGGGAAGAAGAGACGAAATCAAATTGGAGAAAAAGGTCGGGAGTTCCAGGGACCCCTCAAAAATCAAGGAATCGGCTGTCTGGATCGTCCGTCGTCGTCGTCGTCGTCGTCATCGTCCAGCTGTTCGCCCTACAAACCCCAAGATTCAAGTCAGAGCGCGCCCTGGGGCAGGCCCAGTGGTCGATTTTCAGGCCGTCGGTGGTCGATACCCAGGTCGTAATCGCCGTCGTCGGGTGTCTCGGGGGTTCGTCGAGGCCTTCGGCCGGCGTTTGGGCGGTCCTCTGCGGTCCTCGAACTACAGTCAAGACGCTGAAATCAGGGCCACTTGGAGATCAGGTGGGGCCTTGGTTTCCGGGCCGCTCCTTAGAACTAGGTCGCGGAGCCCATTCGTGGCCGAGGCTCGCCGTGGCCATAAAAGCCCCTTCGCTCGTTGCAGTAGCACGACGGCTGCAACCATCACCTCATGTACGGGGCCTCGGCGTGAAGCTCCCAGGGCTCGTCGACAATCGTCGCCACACCGTGGCTGCGAGCATCCCTTTGAAGCTCGGGCGGCAGCAGACATCCTCCGTCGACGGCCCGTCGCTCAGTACGCTCCTGCGGCCCAGGCGGCGCCCACGGAGAATGCGCAGGCTGGGTTTGACGCCCGTCGTCCCGAGGTCCAGCGGGCGTTCCAACGTTTCCTCTGTGGGCACCCACATTCCCGGCGACTTCTAGGTAACGCCATGGGCAAGGCTCATTGCTTGGTTTGGTGCAGACAGACGCGCGGCACCGGCTGACGCTGGAGGGCGGTGGCGACTTCGCGAGGCTCTTCTGCCCCGTCGTCCGCCGTGGCAGTGGGCGGTGGTCAGCACATCGGCTGGCGGATGGACGTGTTGCCCAGACGTCGCCAGTGTGCCCCGCACAGCACACGCCACCACTGTGCCCCCCACGGCCCTCATGAGCTCGCGTTCATCGGTCACCGCCTCACGCGCGAGCAGCTGCCGCTCATCGTGGACGCTGCCCCCGTGGCCCACCTGCCCTGCGACCAGCTGATCATCCTCGGCCTCGGCCCCCAGCAGGATCGCACCGACCCTCCACTCGCTCACTCCCGCACCCTGCAGCCTCTTGGCTTGACGCACGGCCCTCGGCGCACACGGCGGCCGTGGGCGAGGAGCCCGCTGCCGCGGCGGAGGTGCGCATCCCCTCCCCGCCGTCGGCACCGCCCGCGAGGCGTGAGGTGTTTGCCCCAAGGCGCGCCGCTCGCGGCTCCGAAGGAGCAGAATCGGCCAACGTCCTGCTGCCGGAGCGCGACCCTTTCGCGCGCCCGAGCGCCCCCGCGTGCGCCTGCGCGCGGAAGCTGCCCACGAAAGACGAGAGAGACCTGTCTGAGAGCCGTCCGGGCGGGCACCTCCCGCGAGCCCCGGAAGCGCTGCCGAGGAGCCGCCCAGCCCCGGCAGCGAGGCGATGTGCAGGACGCCGCTGCGGCCAGCTTGGTATAGGGGACCACTGCCGCTGCCCGAGCGGCGATCCCTTCGCCGCGGGGCGCCGCGGGGGCTCCACCGATTCGGTCTCCTGCGGCCCGCGGGCGG